GAGCACCCCCCTTCCTCCAGGGACTTTGCATACGTGGCCCGGGACCCCCTGACACAGGTGCTGAAGTGCCACGTGTTCCGCTGCGAGGGGCCAGCCAGCACCATTGCCACCGGGCTGCACCGGGTCTGCGCCCAGGTGAGAGCCCTGGGACCCCCCAACCCCCCCAGGACCTCCCTGCCTGGCTGCACCAGGTGAGACACCCCCTCATTTCCCCCTGGGACCTCTTCTGGCCTGCACCATGTCTGTGTCCAGGTGACACCCCCAAACCCTCCTTCCCCAGCGTGCACCAGGTCTGTGTGTAGGTGAGACCTCCGGGGTTCCCCAGGCTCCCCCAGCCAGTCCCCAGGGTGAGCCCTTCTCCCCCCGGGGTCCCCACAGAACAACCAGATGGTCCCTGGGGGTCCCCACGGTGTGACATCCAGAGAGGCCGTGGTGTGATGTCTGGGGGGCCGTGGGTCACCACGGGGGTCCCAGGGTGCCTGTGGTGTGACACTGGGGGGGTTTGTGCCCCCTGTCCCCCAGCTGACGGAGGAGCGGCGAAGCGCCCGAGCAGCAGCCAACGGGCTGGGCACAGACCACCCCCGGCTGGGGGAGCCCCCGCTGCAGGGTAGGGAGCATGGGGGACCCCCCTGCCGGGGATGGGAAGGAGCAGGGAAGAGCTGGGGGATACCGCAGAGGGGACTGGGGGTCTGGCAGGGGGGTGGGGGGAAAGGGTTGGAGGAGGGCTTGTGGGGTGGCACTGGGGGGTCCAGGGCAGGGGGCTCCTGTGTCCAGAGGCTGCATGGGGTGGGGGGCAGCTGGGTAGAGGGTGGGTGTTGAGGGGTTCAGGGAGGCTTTGAGGGCTCCTGACGGTGCCCCGCCAGTGGAGTTCCTAATCCCCAGGAGCAAAGCGGTGCAGCTGGGGGGTGTTGGGGTGTGCTCGGTGAGCACTAAGGGGTGGGGGGGCTCTGGGGTGTTTTGGGGGGTTCTGTACAGGTCTGGCCTGCCCCCCCACAGTGGAGTTCCCGGCCCCCAAGAGTGAGGCGGTTCAGCGCTTCCCGGTGTGTTACCTGGGCTGCGTCCCCGTTGCCAAGCCCGTGGGTGAGTGGGGGGCTCGAGGGAGCTCCCCCAGCCTCTGGGGTTGCTGTGGGGTGGGGGCACCTCCAGGGCTGCCCTGACGCCTCTGTGTCCCCCAGGCATGGATGTGATCAACGCGGCGCTGGAGGCGGCGCTGGCCCCCGGCTCCGGGGAGCCCCCTGCACCCACCCCTGTTGTGGTCAGTGTGGCCCCTGCCACCCTCACCATCGCCCACCGCCAGGTGTGTGCCCACGTGAGACTGCCACCAGTGACCTCTCTCCACTCCGAGGGGCTGCAGTGACCCCCTTCCTGCCCTGGAGGGCTGTGGTGACCCCCTCCCACTCTGAGGACTATGGTGACCCTCACCCCACTGTGATAACCCCATCCCACTCTGGGAAGCTGCAGTGACCCCTACCCACACTGGTGACCCCCACCCACACTGGTAATGCTCTCCTGCTCTGGGGGCCTCAGTGACCCCATTCCATGCCGGGGGGCTGCAGGGATCCCTCCCCATACCAGGGGGCCACAGTGCGTCTCCCCCACCACATCCCAGGTGACCCCGGGGATCCCCTCCCAGCCAGGGGGCTGCGCTGACCCCTCTGCTTGTCCCCCAGACGGAGGCAGTGCTGTGCGAGTGCCGCGTGCGGTTCCTGTCCTTCATGGGGGTGGGACGCGACGTCCGCGCCTTCGCCTTCATCATGGCCAGCGCGCCCGGCACCTTCCGCTGCCACATGGTGTGGTGTGAGCCCAACGCCGCGGGGCTCAGCGAGGCGCTGCAGGCTGCCTGCGTGGTGAGTGGGACCCCGAGCCCCCAGTTCCCTGTGCCCCTGCTGAAGGCCCCCTGCAGGGTGAGTGGGACCCCCGAGCCCCCCTTCCCCGTGCTGACCCCCCTTCCCCGCAGCTCCGCTACCAGAAGTGCCTGGATGCGCGGCCCCAGGCCTCCAGCTCCTGCCTGCCCGCCCCCCCGGCCGACTCGGTGGCGCGGCGGGTGGGCTCCTCCGTGCGCCGGGGGGTGCAGACCCTCCTGGGGACCCTCAAACCGCGGCGGGGAGGGGCACAGACCCCGTGATGGGGGCGAGGGCACGAGGGGTGTGAGGCGGGGCGGGGGGGCAGGATGGCCAACCCAACGCACCAGGGCACAGAGTTCCCCGCGGTGTTGGGTCGGGGGTCCTGCCCCACCCCTGCTGCCCCCACAGTGGGTTACAAACCCTCCACGGTCCCCAATGCATGCGGCGTAACGAGGGTCTGTGTTGTACTAAATCATTAATTAATAAACCCATTCCACCAGCCCGGCTTGGCTCTGCCTTCGGCCTCATGCAGGGAGGAGGAGAAAGAGAAGGGATGAGGGTTCTGTTATTCCTGGTTTGGTACTCCCTAGGGTGTTGTGGGGTGACGATTGGGATGAGGAAGATGAAGGGCAATAGGGTCCATCACACCTGTATTGGCTGGGTGATGGGAACAAGAGGACTATGTGCTCATCCTGATTCCAATCCCAGTTCTGATGGATGAGGATGAGGAGGGGTGATGGGGTCCATTGTGCCTTTATTGTCCATCTGGTGAGATGTGAGACCCTGTGTGCCAGTCCCGAACCCAGTCCTGGCATGGCTGTGTGCCGACCCTACTCCCGGCCCCGCTCCCAGTGCAACCATGTGCTCACTCCAACCCCACTCCTAGTGTAAGCGTGTCCCAGTCCCGCTCCCAGGGTTACCACGTCAGCAGAGCTGCCGCTGTCGCCAGAGCTCCTGGATGCGTGGGAAGGGCAGAGCCGGGCGCAGGGGCCGGCAGAGCGCAGGGTCGGCGGCACGGCCGGAGCGCAGGGCGCAGAGCAGGGCAGCCTTGCAGGGGCCCCCGCAGGGCTCGCGGGGTGGGTGCCCCTTGTGCAGATGGAACCAGAAGCGCTGGAAGAGTCGCTCGTCGTCCTGCAGCCGCCGCACCAGCAGGTCCCAGTCGGCCGGGAAGGCCGTGGGCAGCCCGTAGGCCTCGCGCGCCCTGTAGAGCCGCTGCCAGCGCGGGGGCGTCCCCGGGGGGGCCGCGTTGGCCTCCGTCAGGTTCAGGATGAAGGTCTCGTGGTCCAGCACCGCGTGGGAGCTCCCGGGGTAGGAAGCGGCCACCTCGTACACACGGTACCCTGCGGGGGAGGGACCGTCAGCGCCAGGGGCTGGGGGTGGGGGGACCCACGGCGGGATTGGGGCGCACCGGGATTGAGGTTGATGTAGGTGGTGACGCTCGGTGCCACAAAGGCGATGGAGACGGGGCGTGACAGCGTCTCCTCATCGTAGAACAGCTCAAACTCGTCCAGGTGCGTGTGCCCGAAGAACTGTGCCGCGATGGTGCCCTCGAACCTGCCACGGTGGCAAGAGGTGGGCCAGCATCCAGATCCACACCCTGCCCTGAGCCCCCAACCCGAGCCAGGCCTGGCTGCTCACAGACCCCCTGTCATGGCTCTGCCTGGCACAGGCAGCTTCAGGGTCCCAACCCTGGGTGCTGCAGCACCACCCCCTGCCCCACTCCCATGCTGATACCACCCCTAGGGGGTCCAGTGTGTGGAATGCGGGTCCAGGATACATGAGGTGGGGCTCTGGCATGTGGGGAGGGGCCTTTGGGCCTTTGGTACATGGGATGGGGGTCTAGGGCAAGTGGGGAGGGGTCTGACTCATGGAGTGGAGGTCCAGGGAATGGGGTGAGGGTCTGGGGTAGGCATCCAGGATGTGAGGCAGGAGTCTGGTGTGCAGGGCAGGGGTTCAGCACGTGGCTGCAGTCCAGGGTGCAGTGTAGGGGTCTGGCACGAGGAGTGAGGCACAAGGGCAGGGGTCTGGCACAGGGTGGGGGTCAGGGCCAGGGGTCCAGGCTGGGGGTGTGTGGCACAGAGTGGGGGTCTGGTACTCAGTGGGAGGTCTGGGCCAGGGGTATGTGTGGGCACTGACCTGCTGACGATGCGATAGTAGTTCCAACTCCAGCTGCGCAGGCAGTGGGCTGGGGGGATGTGCCCGATGATATGCACCTGGGGGCAGGGAGCCAGGGCTTGGGGGTGCCCAGGACCCTCAAGACCCCCCAATCTTCCCCCAGAATTCCCCCCTCACCTTCTCCCCATCACGCTCAGCATCGGCCAGGACCCCCATGAGCCACTGGAGCTGCCCTGCGGGGTCAGTGGCGTTGATGAGGAGCCAGAAGTTGGCCTGGGAGCAGAAGTTCATGTTGAGGGAGACGAGGCGCAGCCCAGGCCAGACCTGTGCCGTGTAGAACCCACCAGCCCTGCAGGGAAACACGGGTCAGTCCTGTGCCCCTGCCCCACAGACCCCACACCTGTCTCACAGACCCTCCCTCACCCATGGACCCCCTACCCCAACCTGCATAGAACCTACCAGCCCTGTGGGGAAAGAGGGAGTGCTGTGCCCCCCAACCCATGGACCCCGACACCCACCCCCTGTGCCCACAGCCCCCTGCCCCCCTCAGTCGGAGCCCCCCTTGTCCTTGTCCTGCCAGCAGCTCCCTGCACCCCAACCAGCCGTGACCCCCTGCTTGCACCTCCTCTATTCACAGACACCTCCCAACTTGCACCGTGAACCTGAGAAACCCACAGCCCTCCAAGACCCCAAGTCCCTGCTAGCCTGGG